GGGCTGGATAGATGGAGGCATTCAGTGGTTCCGTGAGGAAACGAGACCAGGTGGGTTCGCACCACCAAGATGAGATACGTGAGAAACCGTAGCAAGATCCATCCGGCCGTCCTTTCATTTTACAGATTAACTCAAGTATTTGTTCAGTCCATCAAAACGTCAGAAAGTCTCCTGTTCCCTGAACCCGAGGAGACCCACTGTTGGTGTTATTTGACATGATCTGTGTGGCATCTGAGATCAGAGGAGTCAGTGGTCATTAGGACAGATGAAGAGGAGGAGCGAGAGGGGCAGTGAAGGGCAGACAGAAGGTCAGCGACACGTCGGACTACTACTGCTTCTACAAACCACACGGCCGACTAATTTATCCAGGGATTCATGAGCATGAGTCCCACATCCAGGTGTGCGGTTTGCTTTCATAAATAATTACATTGTGTAATATGTAACTCAATTTCGATTTCCATAAAAACATTAGAATCCCTCCAACAATCAGTGGAAATGCTGTTCAAAATGTTAATCCACAAGAAGCCCCTTTAAAGGGATATCAGCCAACAAGCGCACACGCACACACACACACACACACACACACACACACACACACACACACACAGTCTAAAGCTGCATTTAATGAAAAACCCAATGTTATAAACTGCCTCATTGCACAAAACGATTATTATTTGCCAACAGGGTTGTTGATCGATGCCATTCACTGTGTTCCCCCCCCCTGCTGCTAGCCGTTGTGCTAAGCTAGCACAGAGGATCGTCACATGAAAAGGTTCGCTTTAACCAAAACAAGCTCAATATGTGATAGCGCTTAAGCTCTTCTCCCGTTTAAGTCATGACGTTGTTCCGACCTTCCGTATTATAATAAGCGAAACTCAATTAAACGTCTACGCAGCTGTTTACCGCGACGCTGCGCTAACACCGCTACGCAGGGTAATATTAGGACGGATAGCCGCACCGCTAAAGGGCAACGCGATCCATATGCTACGCTAATAACGCACAGAGACGGCAGGTGAAAGACACCGATGGAGGACACCATCCTTCAGAGAACTGTAGATGCATCCTGCATGTCTATTAATCAATACAGCGGCGTACCAGCATACCGGCTGATCAATACTAAACCATTTATGGCTAATGGAGGCGAGGACGAGGGCAAAGCATCAGCACGCTGTACCATCAGACGGTACAAACAAGGTTTCCTCTGTGTGTGTCTTTGAGAAATAAGGAGGACACACAAAGCCCCTTAAATGCATCCACACGTCTTCATGTTTAAGTGGCCATTGCTTTTTTTTACAAATATTTACAAAAATAGGCAAATTATTTACACAATCAATCTCCTTAATATTCACGAATAAATCACCATGTTTGTATTTCCACTTCAAAATGTGCGTCGATAGCGTTAGCATCGCAGGGATAGCATCAGGCGAAATAACAAAAAACACTGTTTTGTATAATTTAATTATCATGACTTGATACGACACATAAATGATGTATTTCTATTGGCCGCAGCACGCTGCGCTCCCTCGCTCTTCATACATTCACAGCAAAAGCAATCGGGCGACGGCGACGCGACGTGACACATTCCGGTCGCCCTAAATGCGCTGCTCACAGCTGCCGCGGAGCGGGTGGACGTAGCCATGGTGGCACCACCCGTTGGGTTTGTGGGCTGCTGTGAAAATGAACATCGGTCGGACTGAAAAGGGGCGATTGAAAGCAGGACCTCGTGTTTGAATAGTTTACTTGGTAACAAACCGAGAGGGAAGTAGAGTCATTCTCTCATAGACTTCTATGCAGCCAAAGGACTCGCCCCCTGCTGGCCGGTAGCGAGAATGCATTCGAAAGACACTTTCGGCAGACGGGCGGCTTCCACCTGGTCACAACCGGAGAAGACGTCTTACGGCCAAATCAACGAGACACATTCAATTTAAAAAGCAACGTAGAACCCAACATTGGGTGTTTCATTGGGTTCCACGTTGCTTTTCGTCTGGTGTGCATATAATGGAAGTCAATGTCACACGTGAGAAATGGCAGCATTTCTCACTGCAGCCTCCCAGCGTGTCTCACGCTGGCGTCACGATTCACCGCTGCCCTTATATCACAACACGCACGGCGCCCGATATGTGAGGGGACCCTCCTGTTGCCCCGGGCAACTCCCTACCGGGGTGGAGAGCTGCGGGAAATTGAGATGCCAGGTTTGTGTGTGTGTGTGTGTGTGTGTGTGTACGTGCACGTCAATCGTGATGAACATTGGAAGCAAAAAGCTAAAAACAAATTGAAAACGCACTCACGTGGACGCTGGCCAGGTGGTCCCTGTGCATTGCCTCAGGAAACCCCAGTGCAGGCGCAGCGCTGGCGTTTAAATGACCAGGATCAGCGGGCGCGGACTACAACACACGTTTATGTCTTCGTGTGGATTCCTACGCGTGCACGTCTGCATTATTTAGATAGAACACTCATACGGAGGAGGAGAAGCTGGAAACGTGCCCTTAAGCTCAACTCCAGCTCCCCGCTGTCATCAAACACACATCACACACACACACACTACTCATTTATGTTTAAAAATGTCACCGTATTATCAAAATAAAGTACTTTTAGCACTGTATGCCGTGCAAACAGAACTCAAGGGGCAACGACCGTGACAATCAGAGTCCTTTTAAACGTGACGATTGGTTAGTGCCACTTTTGCACATGTCAGGGTCCCTGTGTCAACATACAATGAGCTTGTTACATGGTAACGTTTCACAATAAGACTCTTCAATGGTTCAGGCAACAGAGCCACTTAGTTGGGAAAACGCTGCGGTCGGCGTTCGGCTGACGGACTAAAGACACTCGGGACCTGAAATCTGGCCTCCTGGGTAATAAGACAGCATTTCTTTTGCTGCTTTTAATTCCATGAATATTTGACCCAGCTACAGCAGACGTGTGTGTGTGTGTGTGTGTCTGCTACCTTTTGCTCCGTATTGAAAGAACTGCGTTGAAAAACATCCATGTTTTTTTTCCCCTACTGTGTTATCAGCAACCTACGCGTCACTCAGGTGACCACGCACACCAACAAACACACACAAACAGGAACAAACCTGCCAGGTACGTCATGGAAAGCCTGGCTGTGTTCGCGTGGGAGAGACAACGCGCAAAGGTTGGACCAGGTGAGAGGCATCACGGAAACGGTTGCCGTGGCGACCTCTTCGCCGGCTGGTGCTGCAGGTGTCAATGACGTCGCCGCCGATTGATAAACAGCAATGGAGCGAGGTGACCGGAGGCAGCACGCGAGGACATCTGGAGGACACGCCGTCCTTTCTCAAACTCGCCGGGTGAACAGAACGAGTAAACACGCGCACGCACGCGTACACGCACACGTACACGCACACTGGCAGGGACGGAAATCCACATCACGGTATTAAGAAAGATTCTGACGGTATCCCGGTATATCACGGTATTGCTTTTTCATTAATTCATTGACCCCGAAAAGGAGTTAGCATGTTAGCTAGTTAGCGTGTTGGCGCTGCTAGCGTTGCCACCGGAGGCTCGAGCGGCTTTGCAGCAAATCGTATTCTGATGCAACGTTCTCCAAAAAACCCTCCAAACGGACTCCTCTTGTGTTGGTGCCTCTCTGGTCTCTCGTTGTTCCTCCTGTGTCGCTCTTTTCCGTGTTTTCATGTAGCAGCAGAGTCACCTGTTGTGGCGCGGACGATGCGGTCGTTGTAGTTCTATTTTTTAACTCCGGTCACGTTTAAATCTAAACGGGACGAAACCAGACGACAACCTCCAGTTTTTTGCAGAACGTCTCACAACTTGCAGTCTCACGATCAACCAGCAGGGGGCGACTCGTCTGGTTATACAGCAGTGGAATGAGACGCCACTCGGACGACGTATTCCCTCTGTGAACACGGGTTCATGGTGTCGACCTCTAGTCGATGGTCCGCTTAGAGCCACAAAAGCGTAACGCAGAATGAATTGGTTAATTCATCAGGGGGATGATGTCCTTGTTCCGGAAACTACCGGGATTTCACACACAGAAGCAGTTGGAACGTTGTGTCATTTGGAACTTTGGAGAAGGACGTCCTTTAACGTCCTCCGTGCCTGAGGAACGTTCCCGCCACGGCGTGCCGGAGAGGACGGAAGCTACGGCCTCGTGACAACGACAAGCAACGCGGACACTAGAGTCCAACGTGCATCGAGTGGATCATCACACACACACACACACACACACACACGTCTGCCTCCCGGTTTGTTTGACAACAAATAGGCTACTAAGCCAAACTGTCAATGACGAACCCTTAAAGGGGTTTGGAAATACAAATAAAGTAAAGGGTTTTTCTTTCCACATTTACAAATAACATACAACATATATGCTGTAACTTTATTATCAATAGCAAACTATTGAAACACCTTCAGTTTTGAACGAATCTGCTGAGCGTTTAAACGCGTCTGCTGTGACGTCACCAACAACCAACGGCTGAACGTAAATCTTACTTTGCTTTTTATGAATGGAAAACGATTTAAAGGCGCTGACAGTTTATTACAACAACACATAAACCTCAAACAGACACGATACTATGTGACTATTGTCACATCATCGGACGCGAGTGACGACGGAAACACGCCGCTTGTAACCGAGACGAAGCGCGGCGAGATCCACCAGGGCCGCAGTGTCCCCCTCCTCTCCCCCTCCTCCCCCCTTCCTCCTCCCCCCGACCACCCGCGCGGGCAGCGATGTATAATAATAATAAGTGCGGACGCGCCGCGGCCTGCCGAGAACAGCTGTAGCGCGGCGGCGGACCCGTATGCGGCCTCACTGGACCGGACCCGCGTACTAGTGAGGCCGCGCGGGCGATGGAGCTCGTTCCGGGGCGGTCCGTCGGTCCTTTACCCGACTCGCCCGTCGTGACACTGACGGGATAAAAGCGCAGTGCGTGTGTGTTGCGTTCACGGACAGCTGTCAACGTGTCTCGTCCCGCGGGGACACCGGGGGACGCGAGGCGTTGCCACGACACACTCACCGGGACGGACATGGTGCCGGCGGGGGTCCGAGGCTCCCGGAAGGTCCGGCGCTCTTCTCTCCCCCTCCTCCTCCCCCCGCGTCGGAGGCTTCCTCCGCGGCTCCCCGGGGTCAGTCCGCCTCCGCTGCCCGACCGTCGGGGGTCCGCGGGGCCTCCGCTGGATTCAAAAACGCGTCTCCGGCGGAACGAGGCGGAGGGTTTTTCCGGCAGCAGCAGCCGCCCGAAGGTGCCGCAGAGCGGGCTCTGTGTCCCTCTCTGTCTCCCTCTCTGTCTCCGCCGCTGCTTCGCGCCGGTCGCGGTTCCCCCCTCGCGGACGCCCCGGTGAACGCGTCGGTAATCGGCGCTGAACGGCGGGTCTCCCGTCCGGGCGGCACGCGCTGACAGGCGTCAGGTGGGACCCGCCCCTCCGCGCTGCTCCTGCGGGAAGATCCGCTTCCCCTTAAAGAGACGCGATCACTCCCACAATTTACGGGGGCTTTGAACGCCACCCCCCCCCCCCCCCCCCCCCCCCCCCGCTGCGTTATTACATTGTAACACACGTAGTAACATGAAGCACTAAAGCACATTGAATGAGAACAGATACAACAAATACCAAGACTGAATAATTTGATTACATCCATTTACGGATTAAACCCAGAGGCGGGACTTAGCTGCCATGGGTCAAAGGTCAGTCGGGTGATTCTGCTCGTTTTCTACAACGTGGCCCCGACCTCGATCATTTTCCCGCCCGAGGTATCAGATCGCTGAGGCGTCATCGTGACGAGAAGGATGGATGAGAATAAAAACAGCCGGAGCGCTTCGGCCTCCCTGCTTCGGTTTCAACATCAGCCGCGGTTCTCCACGCGTCCGTAGCCGGGCTTCGCCAACGTGACACCACGCGTGTGTGTTTGTGCCTTTGGGAAAATCAAAAAATGCCATTTGTCTCTTTTAAATGAAGCCAACTCAACCGTTCAGTAACATGCATCCCTCAATATGTGCACAAACCCCCCTGAGGTCCACGCACAGTACCTGAGCACCAGCGTTTAGAACATCATTAACTCAAACTGCAGCAGTGGAGGAGACCTTCGCGGTACCATCAGACTCCTCCATCGTGACGAGCATTAAACGATGGCCACGCGTTCCCGTAGAGGCCGTCCGCCCTGATGCCGTGCAGGAGGATGATCCGCTGTATGAACCCTCCTCAGCTTCAACGCAGAGGTAAAGGCCCGCTTACAAACCCGCCCAAAAGAGGAATAAGAACAGAACGCGACCATGCAGAAGTTTGCAGTATTTTATTCACAATACAACATCGATACACGTCACATGTTTAAACTGAGAAAATGCATCGTTTTGAGGGAAAAAATAAGCTCAAACAAGTTGAGGGGTTTCAAATTTGTATCCGTTCTGACCACAGTTTGCCACGTGGCCACAGTCCATCTAAAGGAGCCCCGGCCAGAGAAGAGGCCCGTGCTTCCGTGTATTCCTGAGCCCAGAAGCATTCCTGTAGGAGCTGCAGGGATTGTTCCAGATGACCTTATGCACCGTGGATGATGAGAACTCCAAACTCAATCTTTTCCCTTCTGCTCCACTATTTCTCACCGCGGCGTTTGGGGGGGGAAATTGATCCTCCGCCCATCTGGACCTGTGAGAGACGCTGCCACCCGTAGCTCGCCTAAAACCAAGAAGGCAACAAGACGACAGCGCATCCAGACCGAGAGGAGACCTGCACGATGCTGCAAACCAGAAGCCAGTCAGATGTGGCCTTCAAAGGCCTTCTGAGGTTCTACGAGCAAACACAGTAATTAATAAGCTATTAGCTAAAGGCAAACGGCATGAAAGCACGGATCCGTCCGCTCTTGTGTCAATGGTCCGGGCTGCGGGTGGTGTAAGGGTGGAGGTGTAATGGGGGTGGGGGGGGGTTCTGCGAACACACTCTGGGGCCCACCACCAGAACGAGGACGGATGAGGCGACACCTCAGCAGAACAAAAACAACCCATCTGGCCTGTTTAAGATGTCCGGTTGGTGTTTATTGCGTATCGGACATTTACACGAATGAACAGCGCAAAGCAAGGAGACGTCCGTCCACCCGCTCTCTGTCCGCGGGACGCCGTGGTTCCTCGCGGCGCCCGTTACAGCGTCCCAACAGAGCGGAGCCGTTGTGTGACGGGGTGTGCGTTGTGTTCCCACAGGATGATCGATGGTCATTGATACTAACCTGACAGGCCTCACCTGAGGACCATGTTATATGCAAATAAAACAAGAGAACGAAACTACAAAAACTACATTTATTCTAAATCAGCCGCGTCAGGAGGAACCTCACTGCCCCCCGAAAGTTGCCTTTAGGGTCAAAAACCTCCAGCTAATTACCCCACCCGACCCCCACGGTCAGGAGAGGCGCCTGTGTGTGTGTCTGTGTGCGCTCAGCATGCCGCGTCATTGCTTTGTGTTGCTCTTTCGCACGGCCTTTTCTATCTCGAACTGCCGGTGGTCGACGCGCTCCAAGAAGTTCTTCCGCTCCACGTACCTGAAAACACACACACACACACACACACAGGAACAGTTAGTGGAGCTGCTCCATGTGCCCATGAGCAAGACAAACCAACCCCCAACCGCCGCCCCGGGGAACAAAGGATGAAAGCGTCAGCTGTAATGTGAAAGGACAGAGTACAGGAATCAACTGCTCGTCGCACACACTTCCTCTCCTTCCACTTCAGCACAGGAAGCACTTGTGCAACTTTTTCCTGCAGTGCGTCTGTGTGCGTCTGAGTGCGTCTGTGTGCGTCTGAGTGCGTCTGTGTGCGTCTTTCATTTAAATAAAACGGCCCGTTGAGTCACAATGTTTTTTTGAGCAATGAAAGTCTTGCGATATTCATGAGTTGCTCCAGCCTCAGCTTAAAATAAACGGTTATTGACAGTGTGTGTGTGTGTGTGTGTGTGTGTGTGTGAGGCAGGTGGAATTAAACCAGCCCAGTAACCACGGCGATTTATTTCAGTTTACGTCTCGTGTGTTAAATCAGCTGCCGCTCTGATGCCCAAACAACAGTTATTCCGTTGTCTTCTCAATGTGTTTCCATTAACATGCATCACTATCGGCGTCACCAGTTTCAGTTGTTGTTTAGATCAGAGGTCCACGAACTTGTTGCCCCGCGGACCGTTTTCATGTCAGACAGCATTTGGCGGCGCGGTGGAAGAAGGTCCGGCGGGCCGACCAGACCGAAGCTTCTCACCGTCTCACAGACGTCCGAGCTTCGCTGCTGGCGCCATGTTTTTTACCACATGTTTTGGTCTTAAAGGGCCGTCAATGATCAACGGTCGGGAGAATTCAATCGTACGTTTGAACACGGCGACCTGTGGGTGTGAACTCTCACCCCGCTCTGCCCCGGTTGTGGATGGCCAGGTCCTCGGTGATGCCCTCCTCCGACTTGAAAGCGTCCCAGTCCATCTTCGACTTCTCCAGCGTGCTCATCTTCAGTTTCTTTGACCCGATACGACCCAAGATGCTGGACATGCCCGCCGGCCGCTTGGCGCTGCGGACGCAAAGCAGGTGACGAGTTATGTGACGGCGTAGCGGGCAGCGGCGGCGGGCTACACGTGGCAGAAAGCTCATGACGAAGGTCATTGGCTACTGGGTCTCTACACAGACGTGACACATGGAGCATTCAGCCGACGACCATCTGATGTTATTCATCCAAAACGCCTTCATCTTCCTTTCCTCCCCTGACCCTTGACCCCAAGTAGAGGGGAGCGCGATTCAACGGGGTCCCCACCAAGACGGCAAAAGCAGCATCCTCACACACCCAGCGGAGTGAATCAGTCCGATGAGCCAATTTACTCGCTGCCCTTTCACACACACACGTCGATCTAAATTAGATGAGTTTGAAATGTCACAACAATTAGCAACGGACGCGCTTCCACCAACAGATTAAAACAGACAGAAATCGTTTGCTTCCCCCTGAAGGCTCATCGGCCTAAACGCTCCAGTGTGGTTGGTTTTGCTAAGCTAGGCTAACAACGTCCTCTCCCCAGAGAGACCGTGTTTCCAGTCTTAATGCTAAGCTAGGCTAACAACGTCCTCTCCCCAGAGAGACGGCGTTTCCAGTCTTAATGCTAAGCTAGGCTAACAACGTCCTCTCCCCAGAGAGACGGCGTTTCCAGTCTTAATGCTAAGCTAGGCTAACAACGTCCTCTCCCCAGAGAGACTGTGTTTCCAGTCTTAATGCTAAGCTAGGCTAACAACGTCCTCTCCCCAGAGAGACAGTGTTTCCAGTCTTAATGCTAAGCTAGGCTAACAACGTCCTCTCCCCAGAGACTGTGTTTCCAGTTCTTAATGCTAAGCTAGGCTAACAATGTCCTCTCCCCAGAGAGACCGTGTTTCCAGTCTTAATGCTAAGCTAGGCTAACAACGTCCTCTCCCCAGAGAGACGGCGTTTCCAGTCTTAATGCTAAGCTAGGCTAACAACGTCCTCTCCCCAGAGAGACGGTGTTTCCAGTCTCAATGCTAAGCTAGGCTAACAACGTCCTCTCCCCAGAGAGACTGTGTTTCCAGTCTTAATGCTAAGCTAGGCTAACAACGTCCTCTCCCCAGAGAGACTGTGTTTCCAGTTCTTAATGCTAAGCTAGGCTAACAACGTCCTCTCCCCAGAGAGACGGCGTTTCCAGTCTTAATGCTAAGCTAGGCTAACAACGTCCTCTCCCCAGAGAGACGGTGTTTTCTGTAATGTTGTAGTTTGGCATTTACATCAAAACATCGGATTCTGTGTCTGTGTGAGTGCGTGCTGACAAAGTTAATGAGGGAGTGGTGCTAATGGTCCTTTCCTGTTGTCTGACACACACACACACACACACACACACAGGAAATAGCTCGTGGACACGCTGCTTCCTGTCTGCTGGAAGATGATTTCTCATTTCCTGTCGGGCGGTTTTGGGAGACGTGCACATGCGATGTGAGTTGCCATGACGACAAAAAAAAAAAAAGTATCAAAAAGAAGATACGTAATATTCATGAATGCAAACTCATAAGGGGCTTTCATTTAGTAACGGCAGGTGGTGTGAGGATTGTACCGGCGCAGGTGTGTGCGCGTACCTGGTGCCAGGGAGAGCTGGTTGTCCCGGCGATGGGGCCTCGTCCTCGTCCCCACTCTCCTCCGCTTTGGCGTTCTGGCTCTTGAGATAACTCTGGGCTTCCTTGGAGTCCGCTGACACCACTTTGTTCACCCTGAGACAGAAACACGCCACTTGAGATGACGACGGGGCGACGCACGCAAAGGCTGCAGCACCTTCAGCTCGCGCGTCGCAGCGACGACTCCCGGGAAACGCCAAGTCTCACCAAGCAAAGCAATGGTGGGGCGGGGGGGGGGGGGGGGTATAAATGCACACACATACATGTTCAAGTGCACACGTATAACA